TTCATTTTGCGGATGGACAGGTTGGCATACAAAGCGGCACCCCGAAAAACCGACACACCAGGGTTGTGGACAATATGATGTAGTTATTCAGCTCAATTGGAAGCTGTTTTATTCACATAGATCATCACACTGTCAGTTGTATACTTATAGTGCGAGGAAAGGGAAAACATGGCAATAGTTCATCCTGGCAAACAAAAGACATTAGGTGCCAAACGTAGTCTTTATCTTTGATATTCGCAAACGCAAACTTATAAATTGCTAAAATGTGTCAGCAATCGTTCGGACATGGCACTCCCTGCTTTGCTAAAGATTTATTTCTTGTTTAGGCAACCACAATGAAGCGCTCGAATTTGCATTATTCCACAATCTTTTCCTCTGTAGCTTGATTTTAAGAAATTAGCTTCTAGGGTTATGAACTTTCAGTAGAAGCCTATGATGATCTAGCTCCACTGCATCCTTCCAGTAGTTAAGTATGATATAATATGAAAAAATAATATGAGTATAACAGTAGAGAGTAGCGCTCAATAGTCTTCGGTAGAATATGTACTATACGACTGTAACATTTTCTGTCCTATCAAATCCGTTCAAAGCTTGATACGTTTTAAGGGCAGTTCTTCGTCACTGAACAAGTGTATCAATGTTGAATGAAAGAAAGAATATAGAAAGAAAAATATCATCTTACTAGAAATACTCGAGTATAACCAAATCACAAGTATTATTCAAATTATTCTTAATGTTATTATTGTAAAAAGCTTACAATCTAGAAAAAAAAACAACCGACCGCTGCATAGAAAACCTTAAGCAGATACAATACTTTGTCTATTGAACTTACTGGAGCTGGTGAAACTTCAACAAAGCCTAAACGTGGATTAGTCAATGAATGCACTGCCTATTTGAACAATCTCCTCAACCTTTTTTCAAATTTAAGGTACTTCTCTCTAATATTCCTAGCTCTTTTTCCTGGAGAAGGTTTTCCTACACTCTTGCATAGTGTCTCAAGCTCAGGATTTGCGACTGAATGGTCGCTCTGTTAGAAGCATGCCATGCTGGCGAAACCACTCCTTCACAGTGGAGGTGCGATGCTTTTGTTACTCCATTGCTAGAAGACGAGGACAATCGCTTGCAGTTGCCATACCCTTACCTGAATGCACAACATCATCTTGAGCCTAAATGTGTACGTCCGCCTTCACTAGTTCGTGAAACTGTGGATTTGCTCGACTGTGAAGTAGTAAGAGATGGAGAGTTTACGTAGTTTACTGAACTGGAGATCCCGTAGGTCTTTACGCATTATTGAGCGACGAGAGTAAGTTTACGGTGCTTGACGCGGCAGAGGTGGGCATGTGTGAGGTTTGACGGAAATCGTTTCGTATCTCCTTGAAACTAGGCAAAGGCTCAACTATGGTAGGCCGTAGCAGAAGCTGTACCGCTGCACAAGAAGCGGTGAATAACGAAATAGCCAAATAGATTCTGTGAAACGTCTCGCATCTAAACGTATGGCAACTGTACGTGAATGTCTTCGTCCTTCTAGCAATGGAGCGACCAAAAGCATCGCACCTTCACTGTGAAGGAGTGGTTTCGCCAGCATGGCGTGCTTCTAACGGAGCGGACCAATTCAGTCACATGTCCTGAGCGTCATCGAAACACTATGGAAGAAGGCAGGAAACCTTCGGTAGGTAAAAGAGCCAGGAAAAAAGAAGCTTGTCTAATTTGAGGAAAAATTGAAAGGTTGTCCTAGACAGTGCACTCACTGATTGCTTCCATTTTCAGATCTTGTCAATGTTTCAACAACTTTAGAAGGTTATCAAGAAAGTATGAATCTGCTTAATGTTTTCTATCATGCGGTCAATTGTTTTGTTTGAATTGTAAGCTTTTTACAATAATTTGAAATTACTTGGAATTTGGTCATACTCGAGAATTTCTAGTGAAATGATTTTTTATTTCTAAATTCCTTCTCCCTTTCAACATTGTTACACTTATTCAGTGGAGAAGAACTGTATCTAAAACATATCCAACAGTGAACTGATTTGATCCGGCCCAAAAAATGTTACAATCGAAAAATAGTCCATCGAAGGCTTTGAGCGCTACTGTATAAGGTTCACCATGAAATATTGAGTGCTTGTTTTGATAAGATTAATAGTGAGTACGCATCCACCAGCCGAAAAATTTGTCAACGATTCGCGAGTATCATAATCTCGAAGAGCGTGCGGGCAAACTGAAAGTGACTAGCCATGTGTTTGCAGAAGAGAGACAAAAAAAGAATGGAAATGGTCACGCGAATTTTCAGACGCTCAGCAGCAAAATCATTCATATTAGCTCTGGCCATCAGGTGTAAGCCCTCTGATAATCGTGCCTTGAGATCAGTCTTTATCTCGTCTTTACTATCTTTTGGCTGAAATGAATTCAATCAGTTTCAGAAGTGAAAAAACAAGTCAATGAACAAGTACGGAACTAAAACACAACTATCGCGACGTTACAAACAAGACTATCGCGACGTTGTTGTCAATTTGGAGAAAGACGAGCAAAGAGTTGAAAGAAATAACGGGAAAACGCTTTGTCGAATGACCTGTGACTATATCAATGTTTCTCCAATTAACGAATTAATTAATTAAATTTATTAAATAAATAAATTAATTATCATTCGTTCGGAAAAAAGATCATAGCTAAACGCGACGTGCATTAATGGAAATCATGACATGAACTTTAGATTTTTTTTTGAATAAGCAGTAAGACCGAATAATGAGAACACCATTATTTATCGCCATGTTCGACTCTCGTTAAACCTCGGCATGTCGGTGATAAAAGATTGTGAGATACATTTACCGTAACAAACCATGTAAAATTGTATTCCTGACTCCTTACTAGTGACAATCCCTAAGAGTTTTCGAAACCCATAAGAGTTAATTACGGATGCGTATGGACCCAGGATTACGATTGAAAAAAAAACTGGCTAGGATAATGTTAGGAGAAAGAATTTCCGGGTATATATGAATAAGAAAAAAACTTGAGAAAGTCGAACTCG